ATAATTTCCAGATACACTTAAATTATATGTAAATACTAACTTTGAGTTGGTCCCGATTCACTAGACTTTACAACTAATGCCTCATCTTTTCGTTTGCCGATTTCAAATATATTTCGGGGTATTTGAATAGTCCGAAACTTGGCATTATCAGGATTCCTGTGAAATTTAGAGAATAATGTTGATTATGGTTACCATATATATACATATATATGCACTCAATGACTATCGAGGAAAAATAATTAAATTACCTTGAATATAAAATCAAAGAATCCTCTACATGAAACGATTTAATTTTTGTTGTACCAGGTAAAATTATATCTTGATACTCAAATGATGGGTAGTTGTGACATGTATAAAAAGGTTTCTTACACTCTAATCATAAATAAATACAGTAATAGTAATTATACGCGCATTAAGTTACAATAATCAGAAAATAAAAACTTACCAACATAATCAAAGTCAGAGCTTCCTGATTCAAATTTTCCTATGTTGTATAATCTCAAAACATATTGAATTTGTTCTTGTTCTTGTTTTTGATATAATACCGCTAACGCATTATTTTCATCAAAATCATGATTTGGTGTAAATTGATAATTTTCATGATAATAACTTGAAATATGTGTTATTGGACCTTCCAAACGATGAATATAAAGAAGTTGCCATTCTATAAAATTTTTACATGACCAAAGTAAAAAAAATTATTAGATCTACCTAATAATATCCATCAGAGATATCTATGTTCACTTAACCAAAGAAAATTTGTACATACTATTATTTGGGTCAAAATTATTAGATGATAGGAGTAAACGTAATGGACGTCTATATTGTTTAATAAGCCCTACAAGAACATAAAATCATTCTAGTTTATATATAATAACCATAATTTGTATCATTTGTATCGCCTATTTTACACATACCAGTAGCATCATCAAAATCTGATTCATACCCCTTCCATATAGCTGTTAAATAAACCCAATCATTTTGTGCACAAATGAATATCCCATCAGGTTTATAAACTTCAAAAGAATATCCAAATATAACATCTCGTGTTAATATTATAATTCGAGGATAAGGAAGAGGTGCTTTATGTAATGATATTATCCAATATATAAATGTTATGCCTACAGCAAACATAATTAATGGTCGATATCGTGTCATTATTGGCTAAAAATTTAATTTAATGACAAATTTAAAATAAATTCTCGAAAGAGTAATGTTATTTATAATATGAATAAATGTATGTGTAACAACATGTTACACGTCTTAAATGTAGATCGTAATACCGATACTAGAATTTTTTTCGCATTTGGTGTTTCGTCGCCGTATTTTGTTTTTCTGTTCGTGTTGACCTTCGTTTGTTTTCTGTTTTTTTTTGCCTTTTTGCTTGCCTTTTTGGGCTTTTTTTGCTTTTTTTTTTGCTGTTTGTTTCGCTTGCCTTTTTGCTGCTTGCCTTTTTGCTGCTTGCCCTTTTGCTTGTTCTTTGTTTTGCCGCTTTCTTGCTTTTGTCTTGCTTTTTTTTCTATTTGCTCTTTCGCTTGTTCTGCTTTTGCTTTCTTGCTTGTTTATGTTGTTATTCTTTCGCTTGTTTTCTGTCTTTTTGTTTTCTGCATTGCCTTTTTGCTGTTGCTCTTTCGCTTGTTTTCTGCATTTTCGCTTTCTTGCTTTTGCCTTTCTGCTATTGCTCTTTCGCTTGTTTTCTGCATTTTCACTTTCTTGCTTTTGCCTTTCTGCTATTGCTCTTTTGCTTGTTTTCTGCACTTTTGCTTTCTTGCTTTTTCCTTGTTTATTTTGTTCTTTGCTCATTCACATGTGTTGTTGAATTCTTTTTTGGCATTCTTTTGTTTTCCACTAACATTTTTTTTTCTTTTAGGTTTTTGTGCTCTTGGTCGATTTCAATCGTGTGGTCTTATGTCATTTTCAGGTGACTTTTTTTTTTTTTTTGAATTTTTTTTTTTCACTGCCATTTTTTTTTTCTTTTAGGTGTTCTTTTTGTGCTCTTGCTGATTCAATTGTGGGTCTTATATCATTTTCAAGTAAATTTTTTTTTTGAATTCTCTTTTGTGTTCTTTTGTTTTTTACTAACATTTTTTTTTTAGGTTTTTTTTGCGCTCTTGATTGATTCAATTGTGTTTTTTTTTGTTGAATTTTCTTGTATCCTTTTTTTTTCACTACCATTTTTTTTTTTAAGGTGATTTTTTTTGTGCACTTGGTTAATTTAATTGTATATTTTACATCATTTCAGGTAACTTTCTTTTTTGAATTCTTTTTTGTGTTATTTTGTTTTCCACTAATATTTTTTTTTAGGTGTTCTTTTTGTGCTCTTGGTCAATTTAATTGTGTATCTTATGTTGTTTTAGATAACTTTCTTTTTTTTGAAATTTTTTTGTGTTTTTTTGTTTTCACTAAATATTGTTTTTCTTTTAGGTGTTTTTTTTGCACTTTTGGTTGATTTAATTGTGTGGTTTTGTATTGTTTGGTTTTTTTTATTTTTTTTTTTTTTATTT